TAATCCAAAGTGTCTGTGTCCCCTTGAAATGTTCTGATAATCCATGAGCAATAAATCTGCTTTTCCGTTTCCAGATATCAGAGCAGGGATATTCCTACACTCTGCAACAAGATTTCATGCGCAGAGACGACAGCTTCTTTTTTTAACATGAGAGTCTATGGGACGATTCCCCTTCGATTCTATTGGCTCTAACGGTCAGGAAGAGATGTCACATGTCAAAATCGAGCAAGGGGTGTCAGAGATATGGAAAATCCACCCAAATGGCCCCAGAAGAGGGTTTTTTTTTGCTAAATCTCTCTAAAAAGGTCAAATATCACTTGTTTTGCTTCAAACTTGAAACAGGGTACTTATTATATGTTGTACTTTTGATTCCTAAAGCTTTTAGTCTACTAACCCATCATCCAAGGTTAGTTGTCACTATAAGTACAAAATATATTTTGGACGGACACTATAATTTACAGTTTTTTACCATGTTCAATCAAAATTTTCTTTAAAATAAAAAACATCTATATTTATTCTGACTTTTCTACATCCAACTCACAGGTTTATCATTATTTTGAGAAAAAACATTATTAATTTAACCCTTTTAGAAGGAAAGATATGGTCATTTGTTCTGGGAATGTCATTTTCGAGCCTGAAACCTGAAAAACAGGCTCGGGGCTTAACAGGTTATTGAAAAAAGTTTGAGAATCACTGATATAGGGTACACTTTTTTTGGATGTCATTGATAAAACTGCAGACACTAAATGACCGTACGGTTCACCTCTTTGATCTGAAGTGCATAAAGTCAATGATTAACATCATTAAATGGTATTAAAGGATATTAATAAAAGGGCAGTTACATGCAGATAAATACAGGATATTAGACGACTGCAAAAGCGTTAAAGATATTGTTCTAAAGGCTAAATTGAAGGTATACCGTTATAATAAGCACTGCCCATCCGCTAGATGATTATAGAGTTCATGTTGTCTATCTTTTTTTTAGATAAACTAATATAAGCACAGTGGGGGAGTTTCATTAACAGCTTGTGGAGCGACAAAACAAAAGACTAAAGTCAGTAATCTGTGTCCGTAATGACTTGATCCCTAAAGGGCAGATGGTCGTGTGTGTGTGTGTGTGTGTGTGTGTGTGTGTGTGTGTGTGTGTGTGTGTGTGTGTGTGTGTCCATTATTCTAGCAAGCATTTGTCCCACCACAAAGGGTCTTTGATCAACAGGGTATAATATTTACCTAACAGATATCACCATGAACCCTCCCCTCTTCATCACTGACACAAAGACAATTATCATTTATATTACAAGTTCTCTGACATGTTATATTTAAATATGCAAATTAGGCATTATGTTATTGACTTTGTGCTAATTTGCATCATTTCTGTCGCAGAAAGGTGAGCGTGTTATAAAGCCGGTTCATATTCTTGTTTCATGTTGTTGATATATTAGAGTCAAAGCTTTCGACAGAGGGAATCTCTTTGTATTGGTTCATAAATCTGAAAATACTGCCATAAAAAGTCATTTTCTGCATGTTTTTATTAATAAAGTGTCTTGAAATGAGTGTGTGAATAGTGTGAAAAGCTTCAGGATATAGAGAGGAATGAAAGTGGACAGTTTGGTGTGTGTAAAAGATGTCTGCTGAGATCGAAGGAAACATTTGAGCAAAGAAAGTCAAACACTTTAGAGGTAAAAGGTCGTAATAATCCTGAAAAAGTTGTAATTTTTTTACTTAAAAAGGTTCAAATATTTACAAAAAGACAGTCGATAACATTTCAAAAATGGAAAGAAAGAAGTCATAATAAATAAGGTGAACAAAATACAAGGGAAGTCGAACATTTCAAAAAGTCATCAAAACACCCTGCAGGTGAACAGGGTCACATATTGAACTAACAGATAACACCCTGAAACTTCACCACTTCATGACAAACACACAATTACTTTTTATATTACAAGTTTTCTGAAATGTTATGTCTTAATATGCTAATGAGGCTTTATGTAATGCTAACTGTTGTTGAATGTAGGAAGAATCTGCAGACAGAAACAGACACAGTTAGTAAAATAAAGTCCTGAATCTGTATTATAGCTGTTTTCTTCCCATTGGGTTCAAATAAGACGTTTTGGTAGAAAAACAGCCCAAACTGTGCAGGAAATAACTGTATTTTTACCTTTGGTGTCTTTTCATAAGGGATTGTTATCATGCACATGGTAGAGGTATAACGGCCCGTCCACACGGCAGCGTCGCGTGCTTCAACGGAGACGCTTCCATTCACTTTGAATGGGGTGACGTCACGCTTTGCCGAACTGCATTGTGGTTCCTTTGCGGATTTTTGCCTCCGTTGCTCGCGCTGAAAGTTGAGAAAAGTTCAACTTTTAAGCATCGACGGAAGCGCCAGCCAATCAAATCATATGCCAGTACAAGCTCTAGCCAATCAAACCGCATGCGTGTTTGTCCGGGGCGGGAGATTCATGTGATTGGTTGTTGGTCGCACGCCAGACACGCCCGCCGGCAAGCTTCAACACGACGCTGCGTTGAAGCTTCGAAAGTTGAACATTGCTCAACTTTTGCAGCGAGCAACGCTTTTGAAGCTACGCTTCGCTCCCACAATGTAGTTCGGCAAAACGTGACGTCACCCCATTCAAAGTGAATGGGCAGAAGCTTTGAAGCGTCAACGGCCCGTCCACACAGCGGCGTGCGTTGACGCTTGGCGGTGGGCGTGTCTGAAGCTTAGGGAGTTTATGCGAGCAACGAGACCAACAACCAATCACATGAATCTCCCGTGCAAATCAAATCAAGTTTTATTTATATAGCACATTTATAAACGATTTTTGGTCGAGCCAAAGTGCTGTACATAAACTAGCCTACAGTAGAGACACTTTACAGCAAATACAACAGCACAGATTGTTCAGAATATCATATACAATATAAAATCCCCAAACAGGCGAAAACCTACCAGTTCCACCCACTGTCTCTGCCACCTGCCTCCATGCCTGGCTCCTCCGGTTTCCCGGTAGGTGAACAGAGACTGATCATACAGCACCGGGTGATTCACTACCGCTATAATTAATTTCTCCTCCATTTTTTGGAACATGAGGAAATGACCTGCGTAGTCTCTCCCAGCATAAACAGGATTCGATTGGCTGACACTTCTGCCGAGGCGCCAAAAGTTGAACATTGCTCAACTTTTACAGCGAGCCACGCCAGCAAAGCTCTGCGTCGCTTCCCACAATGCAGTTCGGCGAAAAGTGACGTCACCCCATTCAAAGTGAATGGTGAAGCTTTCAACGCACGCCGCTGTGTGGACGGGCCGTAAGAGTTAAGGAGCTCTTAGATAAACTAGGAGAAAAGCGTTCATGTAACATGCTCCCAGAGAGAGATACTCCCGGGGGAGGAGAGAGTCAAAAGGATCAGCCATCGACATTTCTGCAAATAAATCAAGAAAAAAAACATGACATGCAAACTTATCCTTATTTGTTCTTGATTATATTGATACATCTAGATATTGTTATATAATATTAGTGATCAACCAATCCTCATGTTGAAGGAGCTGCAACAGGAACAGGAAGTGGAACAAAGAGACTTTTTCATGTTCTATTTCTGGGCATTTGTCTTCATATTTCATCACATATGTCCTAACATGTCTTCCACTATGGTCCATAACACATCACAGTGATCTGACAGAGTTGCTTTTTGCTTTTGGGAAAGAAAGGGCAGCTCTGCTAACAGACTCGCTGAAGAACCGGAAGTCAGGCAATGCTGCCTTCAAAATAAAAGCACATAATTCGTTACACTTGAAAATAAGCACACGTTGAGCCGTAAACAAGATTTAAAGGTTGAGATCTTTTATAAAACTGGTTATTGTATATTTGACTAAAGCACAGCTATACAGTATATCTTTATAAAGTGTATTTTATTGTGCATTAAGTGGGATGGATTGCAGTCGTTTGTTCTGAATCGAATATCACAAAATATACACAAAGTACGGAACTTAGTCCGGCGATATACACCTGAACATCAGCAGGAGAGGACTCTTTAAAGTAGAGACACTACATACTGATATACACCTGAACATCAGCAGGAGAGGACTCTTTAAAGTAGAGACACTACATACTGATATACACCTGAACATCAGCAGGAGAGGACTCTTTAAAGTAGAGACACTACATACTGATATACACCTGAACATCAGCAGGAGAGGACTCTTTAAAGTAGAGACACTACATACTGATATACACCTGAACATCAGCAGGAGAGGACTCTTTAAAGTAGAGACACTACATACTGATATACACCTGAACATCAGCAGGAGAGGACTCTTTAAAGTAGAGACACTACATACTGATATACACCTGAACATCAGCCGGAGAGGACTCTTTAAAGTAGAGACACTACATACTGATATACACCTGAACATCAGCCGGAGAGGACTCTTTAAAGTAGAGACACTACATACTGATACCTGAACATCAGCAGAAGAGGACTCTTTAAAGTAGAGACACTACATACTGATATACACCTGAACATCAGCAGGAGAGGACTCTTTAAAGTAGAGACACTACATACTGATATACACCTGAACATCAGCCGGAGAGGACTCTTTAAAGTAGAGACACTACATACTGATACCTGAACATCAGCAGAAGAGGACTCTTTAAAGTAGAGACACTCCATACTGATATACACCTGAACATCAGCAGGAGAGGACTCTTTAAAGTAGATACTCAGATTTATTTCCGTATATCAAAAATATATTATCAAAACAAACCCAGCAGAATTATTGATAAATGTCAGATCTAAAAAAATAAAACACTATCAATACGGGTTGGCTCACATGGGACTTTTATTTTTGAAATATTTAACGGAAGTAGCATATCTGTTGCAAACTGGAGAGATAAGATGGCAAAGGGGAGGAGGGAGGAGGGAAGGGGGAGGAGACTCTCTCCCAGCTGGGGACCAATCACAGGACAGGTAGCAACAGGTGAGAGGGAAACACACACCTCTCTCACACACACACACACACACACACTGCTGCGGAGACATGACAGGGAACTAGAGAAGTGAGGACCATTACAGCCTCAGAGGAAAAACTCCTTCCTTTGGATTAAAAGCGCTTCTATAACCCGGGACAGAATATAAAAGCACTTTAAAGAGTGTCCGCGCGGAGGGAGAGCTACTTTAGAGGCTTCAAAACATGTTTTCAGGAGCGGTGTAGTTTATTCTGTGCTGCTTTAGTTTGTCCTGATGTCTCCTCTGTTGCAACAATGCGCGTAGAGACGCTTTATTTCAGGGACTAGTTTGAGGATTTTTTTTAATCAGGTCTGAATCATGCAGAGCTCTGAGAGTCTGAGGCCGGCTCAGTCGGGCAGGAAGCCGCTGGGGAAGCTCTCTTCCCGGCTGGAGGAGGTGAAGAACCCGTGGAGACAGGTCTCCTCTCTGGAGCTCAGCCACAACGAGGCGGCGCGCCTGGCCACGGACGCGCTCCTGGAGCAAGGTGAGCACGAGTACAGGAGGGTGCTGACGGAGGAGCGCGAGGTGAGCTTCCTGTCCCAGCAGGAGGTCCAGTACATCACCCGGTACTCTGCAGCCACTGCCTCCAAGACCTCTTGCGGACCGGACAGCTCCGATGACCGGGACTTCGAGGAGGATGTGTCCGAGCTCACCTCCGGGACTTATTTCCCCATGATGTCCGATGAGGAGCCGCCGATGCTGGAGCTCGGCTGGCCGGAAAACCCTAACAAATTCGGGCCATCAGAGACCCAGATCTACTTCCAGAGGGACAAGAGCCACAACGTGAAGGACCTGATCCGGTCCCTGATCAACCAGGCCAAGAAGGTGAGAGGCTCGGGGTCAAAGTGGGGGATAATGAGGGTACCTGAGCTCATAGAGTCACAGAAACATGAGGATCATGTATTGCTGTGTGCTTTAACTTAACATGAGCTATTTATATATCAGTACATATATTTTGTGCATGTATTTCTGGAGTCATTTGGTAGTTTTGCACTTTATACTCTCTTTGGAAGCCAATATTGTACTTTTTACTCCATAATACTTATTTTTAGGGTTAGGGTTGATTTGTATTTGATTCACCATTCATCGTCCCACAGAGCAGGGGACATTTACATTCTGCATTTGACCCATCTTAGTGTTAGGAGCAGTGTCTGAAAGTATGCAGTCACAGAAACATGAGCATCATGTAGCTTTAATGAACACAAATCCCCCTAATTGTTGCTATTGTATGTCAGTTCATATCTCTTTTTATTATGTCTTTCTGGAGTCTTAATTTGGTAGTTTTGCATCATTTATCTACACCACTATTTTTGGAAGCCGATATTAAAGTTCTGAGTCTTCCAACTCTGACATTTGGTATCTGCGGCTTTGAGCTCATAGTCACAGACACATCAGTCAGCGGTCAGTGTCATCTCCCTGTGCTTTCAGGTTGTTTTCTATGTTCATTGAGCTCGTGAGTACTTTTAAAGTACTGTACCTAATATTGAGGTACTTGTACACTACCTGAGTAGTATCTTATTTGTATAATACCTTTTACTCCTCTACCACATTTTAGTAGACAACATTGTCCTTTTATATTAGTATACTTTGAACGCATTTGTACTTTTACTTAAGGACGGTCTTGAAGGCACGACTTTTACTTACTTTTGCACAATTAACAATAATCTACAGTTATTTAAATGATTGCTGTTTTTATTTTGGATGCTGCCACCTACTAGTCCTGCCACATTAAAATATTACAACAACAACAACAACAACAACAACAACAACAACACAACCTTATTCACACATTAAAAGCCAGTCTTTACGGTTCCTTTGTGTCTATCTGGTCTTTTTGCAGCAGTTGTTTGGTCTTGTTGTTGTTGTTGTTTACGTCACCTTCCTGTAGTAGGCAGTTTGCCTCTCTTTGCAGTCTTCTGTGTCTCTGTGACATGTTGTCTCTTTGATCTGTCTGCATCTCTGTGCTAGTTTGTGTCCAGCTGTTCTGTGTATCATTCTGGAGTTATCTAGTAGTGATACTTGTCTCTTTGTTTTACACAACGCAGATGAGCAGAAGGAAAGGAGGGGTTGGGCTTCACAGAGACGTAGGAACCTGAATATTGGGTTATGTGCATCCGAGCTGAGTATGCCTGACTAACAAGTCTCCTCCTGTGTCGGCACTTTTTGTTTTTTTGTGTCCACCTGAATGCATCCTTGCTGCCTGCAGAGGTCCCCCCCCCCCCCCCCCCCCGCTGTCAGGTTGGATTCTCTGCTCTGTGAGCAGGCACTCGCTTAGTAACCAGACCTCAGGGGAAACTCTCTGTTACCTCTCTACAGTACGGAGGCTGACAGGCGCTAACGTGCTACAACGACCCGGAACACTTCAGCAAAACGGCTTCAGAAGGATGCAGATATAAAAACCCAAATGTTCCACAGGAAGAAACATCTCCAGCAACTTGACAACACATGCAGCGTTTAGAGGACATTCAGCAACTTGAGGAGACATGCAGCGTTTACTAAAAGCTACAGAAACCAAACGCTGAAGAAGCTCAAAACAGCTTTACGGCCCGTCTACACTACAGCTTCGACAGCTTCAAAAACGGTTTCCAACGCGTCTGCCCATTCACTTTGAATGGGGTGACGTCACTTTTCGCCGAACTGCATTGTGGGAAGCAGAGCGGAGCTTTCCTGGCGTTTCAGGCTGCAAAAGTTGAGCAATGTTCAACTTTTGAAGCTTCTGAAGCTTTCGGTGGAAGCGTCAGCCAATCAAATCAGATATGCCAGTAATAGCTCTAGCCAATCAAACCGCTGCTTGTGTGTCAGGGGCGGGAGATTCATGTGATTGGTTGTTGGTCGAGCTTCAGACACGCCCAGCTCCAAGCTTTTTTGAAGCTGTAGTGTGGACGGGCCGTTATAATCCTGAACATCACCAAGAGCTCGGGTCCCAGCTGTGTGCGTCACTCTTTAGTGTCCCCTGGTCTCCCAGCTGTGTGCGTCACTCTTTAGTGTCTCCTGGTCTCCAGCTGTGTGCGTCACTCTTTAGTGTCCCCTGGTCTCCAGCTGTGTGCGTCACTCTTTAGTGTCCCCTGGTCTCCCAGCTGTGTGCGTCACTCTTTAGTGTCCCCTGGTCTCCCAGCTCTGTGCGTCACTCTTTAGTGTCCCCTGGTCTCCCAGCTGTGTGCGTCACTCTTTAGTGTCCCCTGGTCTCCCAGCTGTGTGCGTCACTCTTTAGTGTCCCCTGGTCTCCCAGCTGTGTGCGTCACTCTTTAGTGTCCCCTGGTCTCCCAGCTGTGTGCGTCACTCTTTAGTGTCCCCTGGTCTCCCAGCTGTGTGCGTCACTCTTTAGTGTCCCCTGGTCTCCCAGCTGTGTGCGTCACTCTTTAGTGTCCCCTGGTCTCCCAGCTGTTCGCGTCACTCTTTAGTGTCCCCTGGTCTCCCAGCTGTGTGCGTCACTCTTTAGTGTCCCCTGGACTCCCAGCTGTGTGCGTCACTCTTTAGTGTCCCCTGGTCTCCCAGCTGTGTGCGTCACTCTTTACTGTCCCCTGGTCTCCAGCTGTGTGCGTCACTCTTTAGTGTCCCCTTGTCTCCAGCTGTGTGTGTCACTCTTTAGTGTCCCCTGGTCTCCAGCTGTGTGCGTCACTCTTTAGTGTCCCCTGGTCTCCAGCTGTGTGCGTCACTCTTTAGTGTCCCCTGGTCTCCAGTTGTGTGCGTCACTCTTTAGTGTCCCCTTGTCTCCAGCTGTGTGCGTCACTCTTTAGTGTCCCCTGGTCTCCAGCTGTGTGCGTCACTCTTTAGTGTCCCCTTGTCTCCAGCTGTGTGCGTCACTCTTTAGTGTCCCCTTGTCTCCAGCTGTGTGCATCACTCTTTAGTGTCCCCTGGTCTCCCAGCTGTGTGCGTCACTCTTTAGTGTCCCCTTGTCTCCAGCTGTGTGCATCACTCTTTAGTGTCCCCTTGTCTCCAGCTGTGTGCGTCACTCTTTAGTGTCCCCTTGTCTCCAGCTGTGTGCATCACTCTTTAGTGTCCCCTTGTCTCCAGCTGTGTGCATCACTCTGTATCTGTGTGTCTCGTCTTGGGAGTGTCTGCCATCTTGTGTCTGCTTATGACTGATCTGTCTCACTGTAGCCTTTTGGATTCTCTCAGCAGTTGCTTTGTGTTTTTGTGGACGTCTTGTCTCTGCAGGCTTTTTGTGTCTTTGTGTATTTTGCATCTCTTTGCCATCATTCATCGTCATGTTGTCTTATTGTAGTAGTCTGTGTTATCTTCTTTTGTGTCTTTGTACACATGTGTTGTCTTGTAGTTGTTTGCACACCTTCCTCTTGCCATTTGTTTCTTTCTGTAGTAGTTTTGCGTTGTCGTTGAGTCTCTCTCATAGATGCTTTTTTTGTCTTTATAGTCATGTTGCATTATATTGCAGTCGTTTCAATCGCTGTCAAATCTTTTTGTGTCTTTTTAGAAATGTTACGTCACTTTTTATAGTTGTTTTTCACAGCTTTTTGTTTTGTCTTATTTTGGTAGTTTCCCATCTGTATTCAGTCATTTGTGTCCTTGTCCCTTTGTGTCCTTGTGTCCTTGTGTCCTTGTCCCTTTGTGTCCTTGTGTCTTCTGTCTCCTTTGAGTTGTTCTGCTCGTCTTTCTTCAGTCTGACTCTCTGTTATTGAACGTACCCCTCTGATATGTTCATGTCACTTCAAACAGAAGCTCTGCTACCACTGATGACCTCTGACCCCGTGATGACCTCTGACCCCGTGATGACCTCTGACCCCGACAGGCTCTGAGAAAGCTGTCAAAATAAAACAAAAGCAATAAATAATGTCCGAATTATTCACCAGCTCTCAGCTCTGTTGCAGAATAATCTCATAAATAAGAAACAGTCAGTTCACTGGCAGACCGTCGGGCACACGCTGCATGAGTCACCACACAAACACACACACACACACACACACACACACACACACACACACACACACACACACACACACACACACACACACACACACACACACACACACTCTTCCTCCTTCTCTATGCATGTCGCTCACTGTGCTAAAAAAGACGCCAACAGAGACATATAAACCTGACCTGAATAAAGTGCGCTCTGTCTGGACGTGTCGGCAGGGCCAATCACGCAGGCTGCATGGGGCCCCGCCCAGCGCAGGGGGCCCCGCCCAGAGGGCCTCAGCTGCTGCGCTCAGTTCTCCGCGCACCCCCGGCTGACACGCGAGAGTGAGAGGTGACAAGGGGAGCACGTCTGTAACCCGACACCGTTGCAATGAATCGACATCTGACCAATCACGGCTTTGATACGGCCACTAGTGCAGGTGAAGAGATGTCGGTGAAAAGACAGTTTCAGTCCAGCGCAAGCAAGAGGGAAAAAACAAAACATGAAGAAACTAGAGCATCACTCGAAGGTGGGTTATTGAATGAGTCAAATGTACAACTTGTGAATGTTGTATAAGTCAAATTGCCAATTGCCATTAAAACATCAGCTGCAATTCACGACATGAAGAAGGCAGTCTCTGCAGAGCATAGGCTAATGGAGATGCAGTTATTTCCAGCATTCTTTATTTAACATTCATTCAAGTATGTGATGCCTTGTATCTGCTAATGTACAGGAGGAAGAGAGATACACTGTCTGTCTAGTTGGCTTAGCTAACAGTTCAAGTTTACAGCCTAAAAAACATGGAGCATTTTTCCCCCTTTTATTCATTTTTATGTCAATTTGCACATTTCATGGTGACGCTCAGCCTTTCCCCTTAACTCCTAACAGTCATCATCATGTCAACCACAACACAGATAAATACTGATAGAAATGTGTGTGTAGTTGTTGATACATTGCTGACAGAGGG